TATCATGACATCTTAATTTTTTATATAAATTAATATAATTATATAAATATATTTTTTTACATTTAGAGATTATAAATTAAAATTTAAATTTATAATTAAAAATATAAATAATTTTACTATTAAGTACATGATTAATAGTACAACTCCACAAGTACATGACTGATTTTAAAAATAACTTTTTAGTTGCTTTGATATTTATTAATTTTTAAAGGAAAAGAGTTCAACTACAGTCCTGGCAAAGCCACCGACAGCACTCTTTGGCTGCCCCTATGGCAGGTGTTTGTAGTCCCAAAACGACACAGTTCGTTAGGTTGCCTTAAAAATCGTATCAGAAAAGGGGTAATGTAAATGCACCAGTTAGCTTTGTAGTCTAATTAACTTGTTAAACTCCTCGGTCTATATATAATGGATTCTTCTAGGTTTTGCGTGTGTTCTAAATAAAGCGAAAAAGGATAAAAGGTTTGTTTTAGGGTAAATATCTAAATTAATTTTCAATTTTTATTATATAAATATTAATTAATATACATTTTCATTCAATACATTAATTAAATAATTAATGTTTTTGATTTAAAATTAAATATATATAAAATTGAAGATACAATTATACCATTAAGATGGTAAGGAAAATTATTTCAGGGCATTATTGCTTAATTAATTTCATAGACATCATTCGGAACAATCATGTCTTTTCATGAAACAATTACATGAATACAATGACAAAACACATAACAATTCCAAAACTGATCGGAACAATCATGTCCTGAAACCTCTCCATGGAGTTTGGGAACAGGGGCACCTAATGTTGGACTCCTTTTCAGATTTTTGTTTTTTTCTACACCCACGCAGTACTAATCCCTCAAACAAAAAATTCCCTTAGTTCAGAGAGGGAGGAAAAACTGCGAAGGTGGAAAAAAAAAAATCCACTGCCATCAGTTCATATTCCCCAACATTAATCATGTCATTTTTTTTTTATTTTAATTGCACAATAATAAATAAATATCTCTTATTTTTTATTCATCTTACCATATATATATATATATCATGTAACTCAAATTCAAAATTTTTTAATTACAATAAAAAAATAACTATTAAATTACTCAATTCGTTAACATATCATATTTAATTAGTCATTTCATTCTTAGACTTCGAGGTTTGGACAAAAGTATTGATGAGAATGATCGTGCATGTGTGGATGACTCTTAGTCAAGGACTAGAATCGTCTGGGGTTCTCATTATTTTTTTTGTATTAGCAAAGTAGGAAAAACATTTTATTTAGATTGAAATACAAAGGGTACATTTGCCCATTACAAACAAATACAGTTAAAGCATCCTACACAAACCCATACAGAGAATACTAGATCCAATCCAAAAGTGCGTTAGTTACTTAGTTCCATCCCGTTCCTTTGTTATTAGAATCATCTGGGGTTCTCATTATTTTGGCACACAGAGGAGAATGTCCCAACCGAACTGGAGTTGAACTAGCCCGACGAACTGCCCCCACCTATTGCATGGCGCTTTTGTTGAACACTATAAAATTCCTATGTAGTACATAATTAACACTATTAAACTGTTCAGTGCTAGCTAATATACCGATAATTGTAACTAAATTTTGTTATGGAAATGGAAATGGACATAGTTGAGAGTTGAGAGAGAATGTAGGCAGAAGCAGAGGAAATTAATGTTGAGCTCCTATGTTTATTTTGATGATAACAAAAAAATTTTTAAATATTTAGCGTGTTTTGTGCAATTGTGTTGAATATTTTAATTTATTTAAGTTTCAAATGTAACTTAAATAAGATAAAAAATATAAATAATTTAGTATACAATTGACTAAAGGAAGATAAGATTAACTATCTAAGAATAAATTCATAAAAAAGTTTACAGTGAACTATAATGAAAAGTGAAGTACCTAATCTCTAGAAAAGTAAAATTATTTACAATTTAATCTTAAAGTCAACTAAAGAATGTCAAAATTAATTGTAAAAGTTATAGAATCAACTCTACGTAGATAAAATCAACTATAGAAAGAAATTAGATAATGAAAATAGAAAGTTTGAAATGTGCTATTGGTGTGGTGTATAGTTGACTAAAGAGAGATACAGTTGATTGTAGGGAGATACAGTTGAGTGCAGAGGGTATAAAGATTACTTTACGAGCCTATAGTATAAAATGCACTTCAAGTACGAGGAGTTCAGGACTAATGATGGTGATGATACTTTGCCTTCATTTTTTTAGGTATATTTCTAACATTTTAGTTTGCTTTTACTGCGATCGGTTAATACAAATTATTTGCATTTTTGTTTTGAAATGCAGGTGATCGTTGGGGTTATCTTCTACTATTATCAGCCTTTAATGAACCACAGCATGCCTGCTAATGGTGTTATAGCTCTGTACGTATTTTTGTTTTTCCATCACTGCTTCAGTATGAGGTTTTTCTCTTTTTTTTTTTTAGCTCAGTTTTCTTTATATTTTGTTTATTTTTTGTTTATTGGCTACGTGCTTGGACTTTTATAGTGTATGTCATCCTAGTTTTAGGAAGGTCAGGCATGATATATCTTTTTGTATTAGAAACGTTTTAGGAATGTTAGGCATGATATATCTTTTTGTATCAGAAACATCTAACATTCCTAGTTTGATAAGCTAGAGAGAGTACGAAGGACACACTGGTTTTGGAGAGGTTCACTAGTGATGATGATATTGAAATATAAGTTGTAACTTCCAACTTTTTGTATACTATTTTTTTCTGTAAGTAATTATTTCAAGAAGTCCCGATTTGTTTATGGTTACTGGTTAGCTTTGTTCTTCATTCAATTAATAGCCTCTATGTTTTGTGTCTTGATATGATGATTTTTGGATTGAAGGTGTTTATGGAGATGCAGAAATATAGTTCATCGAACTGCTGTTTGATATCACCTCGAGCTCAAAGCTTAATTGATCAATTGATCCATTTAAATTATTTTTTTGTCTTTTAGAAGAATTCTCTGAAACTTGTATTGATGTGAGGATGGGAGGATTTCTGTAGTGAATGGTGCAGATACTGTGTCTCAATTTTGCCAATCTTACAAACAATTTGGTATCACTGGCATGATGCTTTATCCTGCAGCTTACGTTATTAATCATGCAACGTGGATCTTCCCTTAAACAGATAGGTGATATGCTATTTTTCTCAAAAAATTAAGATATGTGATATTTAACTTTGTTAATCTTGAATGTCATTTGGAGTGTCTGTAGATTAGAAGTACATTTTACCCCCTTTCATAGCTTCATCTGCTGTTTCACTTTATATTTTTTGACCAATGGTTGTGTAGTGTTTTTTGCTTGCCAATCAAAGGTATTGGATTTCTGTGGCACCTTTATAGTTGATATGAAATTATGAACTAAGAAGTTGCTTGTGAAAAGTTGCATTTTAGAATATGATGATATTCGGGGGAAATAATTTATCAAAGTTCTGTAATAGCTAGCTTAGCTGTTATATGCATTCATTTCAAGTTGTGTTTTTTCAATTTTCAGAATGCATCTGGATTTGTCTGGGACAATGATGGTTTCGCCTTTCTTTGTAAATGTTCTACATGAAGGATTAGGAGCACTAGCTTCTTTTATTGGCAAGGAAAAACACAGATCAAAAGTGTTGCCGGAATGAACCCAACAACAGGCTTGACTTTCCCTTTGCTGCAATGCACAGAGCCCATATGCCTGGATCACCTTCACTGGCAAGTGAAGGTCAATTAGAAGGAGCATTGGGGAGTTAAAGATAGCCATTAACAATTTTTTGAGTTTAACTACAAAAGGTGAACACTTGTTCAACAACATCCAAATCTAGATAATGTCACTCAAAAGTTTGTAGTGACTACAACCCGCCTCTCATCCCATACCACATTCCTCAGAAAAATTTGTAAAAACAAGAAATGCAGGCTGCAAATAACATACTCATCATTTTACGAAAATGAGAGTTTGTGAGGAAAACTTTACCTTTTAAAAAAAAAATGCAGATGAGAGTGGCATCTAATGATGTTCTTGGAAGCTGGGCCAGATTGAAATGTCCAGACAGAGTTGATTCGGCCAAAGGATATGAATACTTTCACATTCAAGCAGGGTTGGGCTTTCCTTTTCTCTAGAAGTCTCTTTCAATGGGGAAAAATGCTTGATGCCCTTACAGGATGAATACCCTTACCTACTAAATCATGCTAATTCAAATACACCCCCACTTTAACATGTAACCAAACAAAGGTTTTGGAAATCGAGTGGAGGGTGAGGGTTCACTTCAAATTCTATTATTTGATGCTAATATAGGTTGACAGCCATTTTCATGAATATTTAGCTGCATCTTTCTTGATAATTGCTTTTCTTGAACTTCTACCATTTTTGGGGAAGAAGAAATGTTAATTTTAGGATTTCAGTATTTCTTTCCCTTCCAATAGCCTTACAAATTTAAGTTTCCAGGTTTCTTATGAGGTTATTTAGGGACAAACAGAGAATACAGGAGAGCTACTTCACATCTTTTCTTTTCTTATCTTAATTTTTTCATAAAATGAAGCTGAGATGTCATTATCATATGTTCCCTCTCCCAGCAACCTCCTGTCTCAGTCAATGGGAAAATCCAACGTAAACCATCTCAAATCTGTTCGAACATCATTTACCATGACATACTCTGTAACCTTCAAACCCATAATTAAAAACAAGCAGCACATGTAGAAATCAGTAACATTTCATTGTAGGTGCTTTCGACAGTGAATGTGTAGTATACACAGTGCTGTGTAGTGAAAATAAACGTTGAGCTGTTTTGCTCTAAATCACCAGCCAGCTTTAATTTCCATCATTCTTCTCTAAAGTTTTGCTTCAAGATGCAGAAAACTTCATGAAGCCATGAGATAGGGAAAGATGATGAGAAGGATGAGATGAAAACATCTGATGAATTTTCTAACAACCAGTTGGTGAGGCATTTTCAAACATTTGGGCCTTCCCTTCTCTTTTCCCTGTTTTTAAAACAATGCCATGACAAACAACTTCCAAGTCTCCTTTGAGTTCTTGCTGTGAAACACAGACCATGGAATCTGATCATTCTATCTTCGAAGCAACAAGTTATCAGCAATCTGGACAATGCAACTCACTTCTAAAATTCATGCATGGCCTGTTTGTTCTGTTTCTCATCATGCTTCCAAGTGCTGGTAAGGTTCTTACTCAGCATGCGGAATCAAAGAGTAGAATATCTTTCCTGTTAGTGTTAGTTACCTATTATGCTCGAATCAACTTGTCACCTATTGGTCTGTTTTTCATGTTTTCAGCTGCATATGATCCACTAGATCCAACTGGAAACATAACAATCAAATGGGATGTCGTGTCTTGGACCGCAGATGGCTATGTGGTAAGTTTATGTTGATTGTCATTTTTTCCTTCAATTTTGGATCAAATTATGTGGTAAGATCAGTATGGGGAGAAAATTTCATGTTGATGGATGTTGCATACATTCTACCAGGCTACGGTGACAATGAGCAACTTCCAGCTGTACCGCCCCATCATGAGTCCTGGGTGGACTTTGGCATGGACATGGGCAAAGAAGGAAGTTATCTGGTCCATGGTGGGAGCTCAAACCACAGAGCAAGGAGACTGTTCCAAGTTCAAAGGAAACGTACCACACTGTTGTAAGAAGACTCCAACAGTGGTTGACTTGCTCCCCGGGGTTCCCTACAACCAGCAGTTTACCAACTGCTGTAAGGGTGGTGTAGTAGGATCGTGGGGGCAAGATCCAGAAGGTTCAGTCTCAGCCTTTCAGGTGAGTGTTGGAGTGGCCGGAACTTCAAATAAGACAGTAAAACTACCCAAAGACTTCGTCTTGCTTGGTCCAGGGCTAGGGTACACCTGTGGCCCTGCAAAGGTGGTGCCCTCCACAATCTTCCTCACACCTGATCGCCGGAGAAAGACTCAAGCACTGAGTAATTAAGCTTTTCTATCACTTCTTTCTATTCTATCAGCTAATTCATCTTCAAAAGATGCATGAAATTTTAATTGTAAATATTTTGCGCTTCATGCAGTGACATGGAATGTGACATGCACTTATTCTCAGTTTCTTGCCTCAAAAAACCCAAGCTGCTGTGTTTCCTTTTCATCTTTCTATAATGATAGCATCACTCCTTGTCCATCTTGCGCATGTGGTTGCCAAAACAAAAACAACTGTGTCATGTAAGCCTCTCACCCAATATATATGCCTAGCTAACATTTACAGCATTCTCAAGCACTGCTCTTGTTTTTGGAAATGTAGGAGTAATTCAAAGCAGGCGCACAAAAAAGGAGTAAACACTCCAACTAAGGACAATACACCATTGCTACAATGCACGCATCACATGTGCCCTATACGAGTGCACTGGCATGTCAAGATAAACTACAAGGACTATTGGCGAGTTAAGATCGCCGTCACTAATTTCAACTACCGGAGGAACTATACACAGTGGACTCTTGTTGCGCAGCATCCCAATCTCAACAATGTCACCCAAGTCTTTAGTTTTGATTACAAGCCTCTAGTGCCCTATGAGTCAATAAGTGAGTGCCCTGAAATCATTACCTTTGCAATGCAAAGACAGCACAGTTGTAGAACTGAACTGGATCTTGAAATGAAGATTTTCACTAACAAATATGATGAATGAATGTTTTTGTGCAGACGATACTGGAATGTTTTATGGCATGAAATACTACAATGACCTATTAATGGAAGCAGGGCCTCAAGGGAATGTTCAGTCCGAGGTGCTTCTTCAAAAGAACAAGGAGACATTCACCTTCAAGCAGGGATGGGCATTTCCTCGAAAAGTGTACTTTAATGGTGATGAATGCTTGCTGCCCCCACCTGATAAATACCCATTTCTACCCAGTTCTGCACATGCAAGTTCAATGGCGATTTTGACAGTGGCCGTCCCACTTCTGTTGGTTATGCTTTTAATTTAGAGATCATATGAAGAAACAAAGATTTTGAGGAACAGGGATTGGCAGAGTGGTGTTTTTTTGGCAGGAACATCATTGGTAAAAGGTAAATATCATCATAAACTGTACCAGAAAATGGGATCTATGGTCCAGCGTGAGATGATTTTTTAGTGCATGCTGAAACTAGGAGTCTTAATGTGAACCAGTGATAAATGAACTAGATGTATTTACACCAGAGTTTGGGTTGCAGTTCATGTGTCTGATGAAACTTAAGAGTTGAAAACTGAGATGCTATCTTTTCTGTAGTAAGTGAGATCATCATGCATGCGTAATTCAGGAAGGAGAACACTGTATGACTGATGAAATAGGAAAAGAACCTTATATCAAACTATAAATAGTTCTTCATGATGTTCCCTCACAATCCTAACATATTGTTTCTTGACATCCTACAACAAACTGATCAACCATATAATATGAACAAGAGAATACAAGAAGTAGATAACTATAAAGAAAATATAAGCGCCTATTATAAAACTCCAACAGATAAGAATGCAGCAAAATGCCATAGGAGAAATCGTGCACCTGAACTCCTCGTAGCATGTTATGTTGCTATAATAATACCATGCCACCCCCGTCAAACATTTCCAGTAAACTTCACTGAAGAAACATAAACCAGATGGCTTTCTTTGAAAGTAGAACCAATGACTTTAGGAGTCTTCTCAATACAATTCACTATGCATTTGCCCATAAGAAAACAATTGACGCTAAGATTGTGATGACTGCACAAAGTAAAGAGATAACTGGCCGAGAACTAGCATTTGGCAACCAAGGATAAGAATCTGGAGGTGGCATGACACAGTTGTCACCATTGAAATATATCCTTCTAGGGAATGCCCATCCCTTTTCAAAAGTAAAAGTTGATGTATCCTTTCGGAATAGTAGTTCTGACTGCACGTTCCCAAGTGGACCAGCTTGTGAGAGCAAATCATTGTAAAACTTAATTCCCCATAACATGGCAGTATCATCTGTAAAACGAAAAGTTCATAATTGGAATATGTATGTTAGGTACATGAACAAATAGTGGAGGAACAGTAGCTTACTGAACCAAATTATGGCAAAATTTAACTTACTGAAGCCATCATAAGGAGTTAATGATTTGTAGTTAAAGCTGAAAAGCTGGGTAAGATTGTCAAAGTTGGGATGCTGCACAACTAGATTCCACTGAGTGTAATTCATTCTGTAATTGAAATTGGTGATTGTGATCTTCACCCTCCAGTATTCCTTGTAATTGAGTTTAACATGCCAATGCACTCGGATTGGACACATGTGGCTGGTACACTGAACGAGTGGTGAATTGCTAGATTTGCCAGGACTGTTAACAGCTGAAGCTAAAAGTGGAGACTTTGGACTGTAGGAACCATCATAGGCAAAGTGATAGGAGATAAATTAGAAAAGACCAAAATCAATCAAACATAATTTGAGAAGACAAAAATGGGAATTCAGCAAAGGGATGGCCAGGAAACTTACTCTACACAGCTTGTAGGATCTGCTGTGCTATTTTGACAACCACAAGCACAAGTTGGGCAGCTAACAATAGTTTCATTGTAGAAGGAAGAAAGCGAGACGCAACAGGTGGGTGTCTTTTGAGCCAGGAATTGTGAATATGTGCATGTAACATTCCAGGTCACTGCCATGAAATGCGGTCATAATTTATTAAAGTTAGAAAACTATTCCATCGTAGTTGTGAATACAAAAAAAATTAGGCTCAGCCTTTATTTTAATATGAAGCTTAAATTTTAAACCTCACACATTCATCAAACCAATCATGACTTCCAGCATGCATTTACATATGTATGTAGACAGTATAAGAAATCAAAGATGCAATTTACACCTCTGTGCAACTTAGAAAGCCTTTAGTAAGTAACTTACTCATAGCCTGAGTAATTCTCCTTTTATCTGCAGAAAAATATTTTGTTGGTTTCACAATCTTTGCAGGTCCACAAGTATATCCTGGGCCTGGGGCTCTTAGTGTAAAGTTTCTAGGTAATCTCACAGTCTTGTTAGTTGTTCCTGCTTGTCCCACACTGATCTGAAATGAGCTTGCTGAATTGGCAGGGTCCTGAGCCCATGAGTTTATCACTCCCCCTTTGCAGCAATTGGCTATCTGCTGGTTATAAGGAGTCCCTGGCAATAAATCCACTACTGTTGGATCCTTTTTGCAGCAATGTGGGATGTTTCCCTTGAATTTTGAACAATCTCCTTGTTCTGTAGTTTGGCCTCCCATCATGCTCCATATTACTTCCTTTTTAGCCCATGACCACCCCAATGTCCAACCAGGTGCCTGAATATGCCGGTATTGCTGGAAGTTATACATTGTAACAACAGCCTAGCAAAACCAAAACCAGAAAATTAGAAATCCAGGAAAGTACATATTTTTCACAGGCAGGTTGTCAGCTTTATTATTACATTAAAGAATGGATTCTCTAGTAAAACTTACAACATATCCATCAGGGGTCCAGCTAATCACATCCCATTTGATTGTGATATTACCTGTTGGATCCAGTGCATCATAAGCTTCTGCAAAAAGGCAGAAACAATCAGGAAAAGATACCAAACTTCAACAACTAAGTTTTTATGCATGTACTTTTGTGAATTAAGATCTGAATGGCAGAAACAGATATATGAAGACAACTCCTTTTGTTGGAACAACTTCTGCTAATGCTTGTTAATCTTTCCTAAACACATTAAAAACTCAGAATTGATACATTGTGATTGTGTCACTCAATTGGGTAATGTAAATACACAGATCCTAAACACCCCTAACTGATTTTATTCTTTTTTTTGGGAGACATGACAAACTTCATGAATTCGAATATTAAGATAAAGAAATCATAGCTAAGTTCCCAACTTATCTAATCTCCAAACATTCTAATTTTTTTCTATTCATTAAATCCAATATAAAGAAACAAAAAGATCAAGTCTTTAGGGAATTTTAGCAACCCATTTGGCTCTCTGGAACAAATTTTCAAAGAAAAGCAGAATCTAGGAACCCAGCTGCATGTATCCAGTGGATGGATGTTATTAAGCACAAAACCAAGATTAATATAACAAGAAAAGCACCTTCAAAAGGACCCAGAGTTCATTAAATTTCTAAATAGAAATGAGTAAGCTACCTGTAGAAGTGAAAGTGGAGCAAGAAAGCAAGAAAAGTAGCAAGACAGTACAGCCGCAGAATTTGGTGATAAATCCAGTGGAAAGGAACTCCATTTCTGGATGCAGTTCCAAACCCAATTGTGAATTTGGTGCTTCCTCGTTAATTTGATGTGCTCAAGATCTCAGAAAGAGAGAAAAAGAGAAGAAAGAGAGGGCTTTCCACATCATATGGGAAGACTCAAGTGAAGTAAGCTGCTTTTGAGTTCAAGGGGGAATTTAGTGGAAAAGCAGAGAGCTGTTGTTAGTTACGTGCAGAGTAAATGACTGCAATACCCTTTCTTCAGTCAGTAGACATATACCGTTGTTTTTTATGAAATTCAAGAGATCCATTAAAAATCAAGAAATATTACAGAGAAATCTAAATGATTTAAGCTGTATAGACATAATAAAATGTAGGCAAATCTATAAAATTAGTAACAGATGATTTTACCCATAACATAAACTTTATATAAATAAAAAACTAAACACCCTGGTCCCCTTTTTTCTTTTTTATCTAAATCTTTATTTTTAACAGATACTGGATATTTAATAACTATTCTCTTTATTTAATTTTAGTTATTTTAATATTTTATTTTGGGCATTTAAATTTATTTGTCCATAATTAGTTCTTTATTTTGTTATTTTAAAATATTATTTAATATGTTTATTCATATTTTATTCTTTTTTTAAGAGAAATAAAAACAACACATATTATAATAAATACATTTTTTTTAACATTAGGGGATTTGGGAAATGGGAAATTTTTTTTCATGTCGTTGGTGAAAATCAAACTCATGATCAACTAAACCTAAATATTAAAATTTAAAGATTAATATCATCGGATCCGAAAACCTAGTTCAATAAATACATTTATTTAGATAGTAATTAATTAGAGATAAACATATAATTATATCAATTAATTATTACTACATAAAATAGACTAACTACAGATGATAAAAAAAAGTAATAATTATTGTTATTTATAACCATATATTTTTATTTGCATGATTAATTAGTCTAATTGCCTAACTATCAACTTTAAAACTCAATACTAAAATATTCTGCCTTCCCTACCCTCCCTTCCAAACCCCACCCCCCCCCCCCCCCCCCCCCCCCCAACCGACCCCCGACCCGCCCTTAGTCGTCAGCTCTCTCCCCTTTTGCAGTGACTAAGCTCTCTCCCCTTTTGCAGTTAAGGAGGATGAATGATGATGGTTGTCTCCTTTTATTTGAGGCTTTTTCTTTAAAGAAGTTTTGTCTTTTTTCTTCTGTTTTTTTTTTTTGAGAGTTCTTATCTAAACTTTCTTAATATATTTCATTGAGTTTTACATATGGTAGAGAGTAAGATAGTGTAGATTTGAGGTTGAATGGGTTCAATTCAATTGCAGTACTTTATTTAATTGTCAGTAACATAATCAAGAATTAAGGTTTTTAACTAATTTTTTACCTAAATATCATAGTTTTGTGCTAAAAAAAGGTGATAAGATATAAGTGTGGTTGCTAGAAGTGATAAGAAAGTCTAGAGGAAAATTTTCTATATGTTACATAATCATCTTAATATCTTTGAATGATAACTGATACTTAATTAAAATTTTTTACACTTAATTATTTATATATATTATGAGCACTATCTCTTTGTATATGTGCTATAAAACCTTTTTACTTCTAGTATATTTACTTTTTTTTTTTATTTAATCTATATAGCTTGAGCTATATTTGTTTTGATATTTTTAAAAAAATTATGCTTTTTTATTTAAGAAAAAAACTTAATACTATACACCTCTAACCAAGGTTTTTAAAACCGAATCGATCAATAAACCATTTTTAGTTTTAGTTCTTGATTCAATCAGTTCAACCGATTCAATCGATCAACCAGCCAACCCAACATAAAAGGGAGATTTGAGGGGTAGCGTCCCAGCCTCCTGAATTTTAAATGTTCAACACTTCAACTTCAACATTATTTCTTGCTACCTTGACCATTTTTAACAACTTTTTAACATAAATATATTACATTTTTACCTTGAAAACTCATCAAATAATCTCAATTCTAATTCTCAAAACAAAATATATATGGAAAAAGCAAGTAATACAAGTTTCAAATCCAAAAACAAATAGAAAAAGATAGACAATAAGTCTTAAAAAGGCTTAAACCCAAATAGATAACAATTCATGAAGTTTCAAATACAAATAAAATGAACTAATAAAGGACTTGTTCATTTATCTCTCCTTAAATTAGGAGGATCTTCATTGAACCATGTATCACATTCACAAAAATCAAAGCAAACCAGCAGAAATCAAGGCTGATGAAGTGAAAGAAAGTAGATCAGCAGAAAGAAGTTTTGGACTTCCAGTGAGACCAAATCAGCAGACAGCACAACAGAGAGCAGCTTCGATGAAAGCAAATCAACATAAAGCAGAGTAGCTTCAATGAGAGCAGATCAACAGAAGGCATAAAGCAACTTCAGTTCAGTGAGAGTAGATCAACATAAAGTAGAGAGCAACTCTGATGAGAGTAAATCAGCAAAAGGCAAAGAGCAACTTTGGTGAGAGTAGATCAGCAGAAAGTAGAGAGCAACGCCAGAGATCAAACACAGCAGAGAAGGAGAGGAGCACCGGCAATGTGGGAGAGGGTAGAAAGGTAGGGAAATTGGGTTGGGAGTCAAGGGTTTTCACAAATAATTTCAGATATTAGATTTTCAGCTTGAGTTTCTAATTTAGTTTTTGATGATTTTGCAATTTTCTTGAAATTAAGGGTTAAAACCAGTATAACAAAGGAATGGTGATAGTGAAATTAGTAAGAAGACTGCATGCTAAATTGAACTAGTGGTTTTTTGGTTTCATTGGTTCCATTGATTCCATTAGGTTTGAATGGTTTTGACATACAAACGGGTCTCCTATGCAAACCGAACCATTTTCACTCTTAGGTAACAGTTCGACTGCTTCAACCAACTGATCTAGTCCGATTTTAAAAACCTTGCCTCTAACGGTGCTTAGTAGACTATTGAAATTAAACTTGGATTAAAAAAAAAATTATCCGTCATTGGAGAAGGGGAAAAAAAAAAAGTTCTAAACCCACACTTGAAATGGAACGCACTGCAAAATTGCCTATGGTTTTTTTTTTTTTTTTTTTTTTAATTTTGGCCATTTACGCTTTCTAGGTTAATATGGGGATATTTTCGTATGACAAGGATATTTCTGGATTTGAACTTGCTCAACTGCCACGCTGTGCACGCATGGAATAAAAATCTGGATATAAAATGACACTTTTAGGGCAGAGGGCAAAATCAGGGGTTGTGTGGACCATTCCATTTCTGTCGGTGCAGGGAGGGTTACAAATTTCCAAACAATGATATGCTTTTGTTGATTTTATACACGCTTAATGATAGTAAAAAAATGAGTTATTTATACATAAATTTTATATATTATATTTAAATAAAATTTTAAATATTTATTTTTAAATTTTTAATATTAAAATTTATCATAATTTTTAAAATAAAAAATAATTATTTTTAATAAATCAAAATAAACACCT